CTCTTCACTGAACTCAAGACATGGTTCGACAACAAATGCTTTAGATGCAGGAGATAGCCAAAGCGTCGAACATCATGACTTCGAGATACGTGTGCACATGGAAATTCGTGAAGAACAAAGAAGGCGAGATGGAACGCACCATCCGACTACGCTTGGTACTCTAAGGCTTCATGGACCTTGATGCTTTCGACGTAGAAGCATTTTCGGGAGCATCAAGAAGGTTGAGCCAGAAGTTACTCGCTAGCACAGCAGCGTGCAAGAAGCAGTGGATCATTGCTTCCCTCGACATCAACATGGCCTTCTTGAAGGGATTGGCCTATTAGGAACTTGCTGAGGCTACTGGTGAAAAGGAACGTGTGGTGTGCTTTACTTTGCCGCCTGGATCGGCCACTGTACTCCGAACTCTTCCAGGATTCGAGAACTACGACGAGTCAAAGCACTGCCTACTGTGCTTGAAACTGGGCACAGGTACTAAGGACGCCCCACGGGCTTTCTCACTCAAGCTCAGAAGAACCACCAGAGGATTTGGCCTCCGACCCGCCTCTTACGACGAGGAGTTCGAGACGAGCAATAACTTGCTCACGGCCAAGCATGTTGATGACATTAATATGGCCGGTACTGAGGACACCATTGACAAATATGTCAAGTGCGTTGAAGATACTTTCGGTATGCGTAGAATCAACAAGCACACATATACTAACTGTGCTGTGAGATACACTAGGGACGAGGACGGCAATGTTACCTTGGTTCTATATGAAAATATTCGACAGCTCCGTCCTATACAACATCCCGAACTAACCGGCGCTGACTCTGACGCTCAAGCAACCAAGATGGTGGCAGACATGTTCGTCAGTCTCAGGGTTGCGCTGGCATGCGCGCTGATCACCCAAGTGTGGTTAATGGTGTATGTTGTATCTCTACAGCGTGTTCAAGAACCGACCAACATTCAAGTGCGACGACGTGAACGCAATTACCAGAAAGCTACAGGCCTGCCCGAAGAAGATCGTCTACCAGGCGATGAACCCCACGCGTGAGGTCGACTTACATAGCGACTCACGATATCGACGCCTGAGTGGAGACGCCGACGACGACGTCAAATGCTATGGTATTCGCGGGGCAAACCTGCTACGACGTGGAAACACGTCCTCTGGCAAGCCTGTCGTTCATTTGATTGATGCGTACTGCAAGTCTCCCCCCTTGCAGGTCCGTTCGAGTTATTCAGCAGAGACACTAGCAGCAGCCCATAATTTGGAGGACTGCTATCCCACGATTGTGGACTCTGCGCGAGCTCCACGCGGGGCCGCTCACGCCCACTCAGTTGAAATATATACTTGAGTTGGGTGGCCTGAGCAGCAAGGTCACTTCGACCATAGATGCTGTGTCTGCTTCTAAGTCCTTGTCAAGCAAAGACGTGAAGGAGCCGGCTGAGTACACCCTTTCAGGACACATCAGTTGGATACGACAGATGATGGAGCGTGGAATCGTGCACAGCATTCAGTGGTGTTCTACCCCTGATATGACTGTGGATGTCCACACCAAGGGGGGGCATCGACAGAGAAATGCTCCTACAAGTCATGGGAGGTATACAGACCTTCAAACATGACCTGAAGAGACATGCTCCATATCGGGCCGGCCAGACATCAAGTTCTGACGCCGCCTGATAAGTATGTCATACATATGCGAGGCAACTTGCTGGCGGGTCCACCTTCCTTTGGGCCCGTTTCCTTTCCTGTCCTTGTGTAGGTTAGCTGCTGTGCCTGCTGTGTAGGGGCGTCGGGGTCACGCTTCATCTCCATCGCCCCCCGACGAAAGCGAGCTGAGGGACGTAAGGAGTGGAAGCAAGCGCGCGCCCGCGGCCGCGTCGGCTCAAGCGGCCAGCCGCCCAAATTTGACTGTGCCTCACCGCGAGGCACACAATCGCTATCGAGACCAAAAGGATCTTCCTATGGCTGGAGATGGCATCTCCTCTCCTACTGGGACTATCGTTACTACGATATAACAGAGCTGGAGCTTGGCTTCGCCTGAGGCGAAGCTGTTGGCTGGGCCTTCCAGCCCCCCTTCAAACTCCTTGGGTGTCTCGGGGTCTTAGGTTCTTAGGGTCTGAGGGTCTTAGGGCCTGGGGGCCTGAGGATCTTAGGTCTTGGGCTCTCAGGGGCTTCGGGTCTTCGAGTCTCTGCGGTTCTTCGGGACCTGGGGCCGCGGGGGCTTAGTGTCCTAGGGTCGCAGCCCCGGGGTTCCAGGGTCGCAGTTCCTTGGGGCCTTATGGTCTTGGGGCCTTAGGACCGCAGGGTCTTAGGGCCTCGGGGTTCTAGGCTAAGTGATCGCATCGGCCGCGATCCGCCTCGCGTGCAGAGGCGAAGATTTGGAGGGGGAGCTTGGACGTTCGTGGGAACAGGATCTCCTAATCTGGCGTAGCCCTGTCTCGTGCCCCCTTTTGCCCTCTCCCTTGCTTTCTCTTTCCGCCGCTTTCGCGCCTTTTTTCTTTGGGGTCTCATCCGCCCGCGCCAGAAGTAATTCGGTGGGTGGGGCTCCTCGAGTTTGTTCTGCGCGCTTCCGCAGTGGGGCTTGTTGGGCACTTGCCGCGTCGGGGTCGGTGCTCGCAGTGCGCCTCCCCGCCGCGAGGGGGCAGCTGCTGCGGCGGTGCGCAGGGCCGAGAGCTCGCGCCTTGGCAACCTAAGGACTGACTGCCATGCGCCTTCCCGCCAAGAGGATACATGTGCGCATTCTGCGGGGGGAGAGAGGGGGAAGGGGGGGGAGGGACCGGGCTCAGTGAGCCTTTCGGCCCCGATCCGCCTTGCGTGCAGGGGCGATGATTTGAGGGCGGGACCCTGCGGCGCCTGCTCGGTCGGGATAATTCAACCATTGGCCCTTGCGGCCCGCGAAAGTGAGAATTCGATCTCGAGTTCGAGCGTTTTGATTCGTTGGTCTCGTTTGATTCTCCTGCCAACTTCGCTGGTCTTGTCGTTTTGGCTATGGATCCGCGGCGCGTCGAGCATCATTTTGGAATTTGCCACGATTCGTTGTAGACAGGCCTGGATCCGCCTCATTTTTGTTTTCCAGGAAGGTGGGCTGTCATCCATATTCCATATTGCGTGCGATAGGGTTTGTATCGTACGCCGAATAATCAAAACACATAGTGCCGTCGTCGGCCCCGATGAGACCCCCGACTTGGGCGGGTCTGCTGCAATCGGCGATCCCGGAGAGGGTGATGATGCTGATGTTGTTCATCAGGATAGTGATGCTGATTATGCCGCTGATGATGCTGATTATGGCGCTGATGATTGTGGTGCGGATCTTGATGACGTTGCTGATGATGCTGATGCCTGTGCTGATGCTGCTGCTGATTATAAGTATGGTGTTTCAAATGATGCTGATGCACTGTTGCTGCTGATGATGGTGGTGATGATGATGGGGGTGATGATGGTGATGGTGATGGTGATGGGGATGGTGGCGGATGATGATGATGATGATGATGATGATGATGATGATGATGATGATGATGCTGATTCTGATTATGATTCTGATTATGATTATGATTATGATGGTGCTGATGAGAGCATCAATGAGGCTGATGACGACGAGGACGCTCGAATGATGATTATGATAAGCTGGATAACGAGGAAAAACATGGGGAAAGGGTTGATAAGGAGTCGAGGCGGAAGGATGGAAGGAGGAGGTGGAGTAGGAAAAACAAACGATGAGAAACCGATGGCGGGATATGCTTGAATGCAGCGGGGGGCTCTTGGACGTGCCCGGGAAGGACGGAGAAGGAGGGGGAGGAGGAGGAGGAATCGGCGGATGAGGAGGAGGAGGAGGAGGATAAGGAGGAGGAGGAACATGCATTGTCAGAGTTTTCTGTGCGATGTTGGGATCTGGGAGTTCTTTCTGGCCTTGTCCTGGATCCGTGGGTCTGTTGCTGAGGCTTTGCGTCATGATGATGCTGAGGATGGCCAGAGGCTGTTTCCTGCAGCTGGCGCCGCGTGCAGGAGATCCTCTTTGGCCGTAGCTGTCTTGTCTGACTCACAGTAGTTGTGGCGCGGGCCCCGGGGAAGTTCGGCGGCCTGCGAGAGGCCGTCCGTGAATGGGTTTCTGGGCACCGACCGTCCCTCCCCGGCAACCAGTGCACACTCCCAGCCACGGTGCCAGAATTTGCGCTGCCGCCAACTGGCCGCAGAGGCATGGCTCGGTGTGGTCTTTCGCACAGCCAGTCATTCCTGCGCCAATGTTGGAGAACATTTCCCTTTTCTCAATCGTCGTCATCGTCGTTGTCGTCGTCGTGGTCGTCGTGGTGGTCGTGGTCGTGGTGGTAGTGGTGGTGGTGGTCGTCGTCGTTGTCTGGGTTGTAGTTGTGGTCTCGGTCGTCGTGGTCGTCGTGGTGGTCGTCGTCTTCGTCGTGGCCGTCGTCGTCGTCGCCGTCGTTGTCGTCGTCGTCGTCGTCGTCGTCGCCTTTGTCGTGATTGTCTTTGTCGTCGTCGTCTATGTCGTCGGCTTTTCGTCGTCTTTGTCGTCGTCTTTGTCGTCGTCGTCGTCGTCGTCGTTAGCGTCGTCGTCGTTGTCGTAGTCGTCGTCGTCGTCGTCGTCATCGTGGTCGTCGTCGTCGTCGTCGTCGTCGTCGTCGTCGTCATCGTGGTCGTGGTCGTGGTCGTCGTCGTGGTGGTCGTCGTGGCCGTCCTGGTGGTGGTGGTCGTCGTCGTCGGCATCGTCGTCGTCGTCGTCGTCGTCGTCGTCGTCGTGGTGGTCGTGGTGGGTTTCGTCGTCGTCGCCGTCGCCGTCGCCTTCGCCGTCGCTGTCGCCGTCGCCGTCGCCGTCATCATCGCTGTCGCCGTCGCCGTCGCCGTCGCCTTCGCCGTCGCCGTCGCCGTCGCCGTCGGCGTCGTCGTGGTCGTGGTCGTGGTCGTGGTCGTCGTCGTGGTCGTGGTGGTCGTCGTTGTCGTCGTCGCGGTCGCCGTCGCTGTGGCCGCCGTCGTGGTCGTCGTGCTCCGTCCTGGCTCCAAAACTAGCGTTTTTTGACGCCGCTTTCGCGCACGCGCGTGGCCGTATCACGGGCTGCCGCGGGCTGGCGCGCGCCCTCCATGGGGCTGCCGCGGCGCAGCAGGAGCCCTTCGGCGGGAATGGATTGCTCTCCCTTTTCGGGCAGATTAAGCAAGGCGCGGACTGATGGATAGGAGGGGGAGGATGAGGGGGATGATGATGATGGTGATGGTGTTGGTGATGGTGGTGATGATGATGATGCTGATGATGATGATGCTGATGATGATGGTGGTGGTGGTGGTGGTGGCGGTGATGATGATGATGATGATGATGATGATGATGATGGTGCTGCTGATGCTGCTGCTGCTGTGGAGGAGGGGGAGGAGGAGGAGGAGGAGGAGGAGGAGGAGGAGGAGGTGGAGAGGAGGAGGAGGAGGAGGAAGAGGAGGAGTCGGAGGAGGAGGAGGACGAGGAGGAGAAAGAGGACGAATAATAATAATAATAATATTAGTAAGAGCAGTAGTAACAATAATTCGAATCAGTGTACTAATTCAACGTATGGTGAGGATACTACGACCAATGATAATACGAATCACAGAAATAAAAATGAATAAGACTAATAACAACAATAAGCGTCATAGTAAGACGCATCGTAGTGATAAGAAGACACATTGCACTGCTTATTATAGTTACAGTAATTGGAAGAGGAACATAGCGAATACTAATAGTACTACGTAAGAGGAGTCATGATATCACTAAAAAGAATAATAGTAGGTATATGAAGCATACTACGACGAGTAAACATAGCATTACGGAGAAGAGCAATCCACATGATAATAATCATTCTAGTAACAATGAAAGTACCAACAATGATAATAATGATAACATTAGTAACGTTGATAATACTAATAACAAACATCGTACTAATAGTACTGATAAGAAAACAATCATACTAATACTAATAATCATAATACTACTACTCAAATTATGAATGAGAAGAGGAGGAGGACCAATGGAAACACAGAAGTCATCAACCATGTTGGAATTTACCCTCCCCCCAAGCTCCCTCTCCATAGGCCCCACACAACGGTTCATTGCCATTGAGGGAACTGCCTCGTTTGAAGACAGCCGTGTGAAGATCCTGAAGCGTGCCACATTGGTCTCGGGATTCCAACGCCACGTATCAACCTGACTGCTGCGTCTTGACGATCCAGAATCGTGCCAGAATGCATTGTTTGGGAATCCAACACAGCGAATCAACATATCTGTTGCGCCCGCATAATCCTGAACCCTTCCAAGATACCATTTCTGGTACGCTGATCATGGGAATCCGTGGAACTCTTGCAAACTAAAAAACGAGTGTGCGTTGCGCTAAGGCGAGAGCCACATTTTGAAAAGGAACTTCTCTCAATCCGTGAAATTTTTGCAGCTTTGTAAGACGAATCTGCGCGGCGCTAGGGCGACAGCCACATTTTGAAAAGGAACCGCCCTCAATCCGTGAAGCTCTTGCAAATGTTTACGACGAGTCTGCGCGGCGCTAAGGCGAGAGCCATATTTTGAAAACGACCGGTCCTCAATCCGTGAAGCTCTTGCGAATTTTTAACACGAGTATGCGCGGCGCTCAGGCGAAAGCCACATGTTGAAAACCACCCGCCCTCCCTCAAGCCGTGAAGCTCTTGTATGTTTCAAAAGAAATGTGCGCGGCGCTAAGACGAAAGCCACATTTTGAAAATGACCAGTCCTCCATCTGTCGACCTGTTGTCACTTTTTAAACTTCAGAGTCATAAATGGTGAGAAAGTCTCAGGCGAAAGGAAGTGCACGGGTGCTTCTAGGAATGGAGGGAGGAGAGGAGGAGGAGGAGGAGGAGGAGGAGGAGGAGGAAAAGGAGGGCGGTGGAGGAGGAGGAAAAGGAGGAGGAGGAGGAGGAGGCGGCAGTTGATGAGAAGCAGGAAAAGGTGGAGGAGGAGGAGGACGAGGACGAGCATGAAAAGGTGGAGGAGGAGAAGTAGGACGAGGACGAGGACGATGAAGAGGACAAGGACGAGGACGAGGATGAAGACAAGGACGAGGACGAGCACGAGGAGGAGGAGGAGGAGGAGGAGGAGGAAAAGGAGGAGGAGGCGGAGGAGGCTCGGAGGAGGAAGAGGAGGAGCAATAGGAGGAGGAGGAGGAGGAGGACGGAGGAGGAGGAGGAGGAGGAAAAGGAGGAGGAGGGAGGAGGAGGAAAAGGAGCGGAGGAGGCTCGGAGGAGGAAGGGGGGGGGGGGGGGGGGGGGGGAAAAAACCGGGATGGAGGAAAAAAAAAAAAAAACAAAATAGGAGGAGGAGGAGGAATAAAAAACAACGGGGGGGGGGGGGGGAGGGGGGGGGGAGGAGGAGGAGGAAAGGGAGGAGGAGGCGGAGGAGTCGGAGGAGAAGAAGAGGAGAATAGGAGGAGGAGGAGGAGGAGGAGGAGGAGGAGGAGGAGGAGGAGGAGGAGGAGGAGGAGGAACAGGAGGAGGAGGAGGAGGATGAGGAAAAAGGAGGAGAGGGTGAGTAGGAGGAGGAGGAGGAAAGGAGGGAGGAGGTTGAGGAGGAGGGGGTGAGGTGGCGGTTGCAGGAGGAGGATGAGGACGAGGCGAGGACGAGGCGAGGACGAGGAGGAGGAGGGGAGGAAGAGGAGGAGGCGGCGGAGGAGGAGGAGGAGGACGAGGGCGGTGGAGGAGGTTTAGCAGGAGGAGGAGAAGGAGGAGGAGGAGGAGGAAGAGGAGGAGGAGAAGGAGGATGGTGTTGAGGAGGAGGAGGAGGACGAGTACGACGAGTAGGACGAGGAGGAGGAGGAGGAGGAGGAGGAGGAGAAGGAGGAGGAGGAGGAGGAGGAGGAGGAGGAGGAGGAGTGGCGCAGGAACCTCCCGCGGGGCTTGCTCCTGCGGCGTGGGTCGATCATCAGTGATTTTTGCAATCTCGTTGATTGTTTCAGTTTTCTGTTTGTCTTCGTGCTGTCTACCTTCTTGGGTTCACCATCCACCGATCGCGCGTCCGAGTTCACGCCAAAGCGCTCTTTGTGGCAAGCCTGCCGGACCGTTTTTATTTTAAAGTGCCCTGAGCGCCGACGAAACGGAAACGCAAAGCACCGTTTTTGTCGACCCGTGCCTCATTTCTTTCCGTCCTTCTTTCTTTGCTTCCTCTCCCTCTCACTCTCTCCAGACTCCATCGCGTCAAAAAGGAATAACCACCACGAACTTTTTGCCTCCAGCCTTCAGGGCCTCTCGCCTGGCTCTGGGACCGTCAGACAACGACTCAGGCTTACAAGCAGGTCCCGGCGAGTGGGTCGAGGCCTCTGGGGGTCGACGTTGTAGAAGGATGATGACGTCCGGGGTCTGGGTCTCTTTGTCGTCCGAGTTCCAGGTCTCCCTTCCCGTGTCGCTTTCCCTCATTGTCGGTCTCTGCTTAATTACTTCTACTTTCCGTCCGTGCCTCCCCCCTCCCCTCCCCTCCCCAAGCTCGCTCACTCGCTGCTCGATCCGTCCACCTTCTGCTCGTCTTCGCGTATCCGTCCGTTTTCTCCTCCCGACCTAGTCCCCTGTCCCCCATCCCTTTTCCCATTCTCCCTGCCGCCTCTCCCTGTGCTCCTCTCCTCTCTTGCCTCGCAGTCGTCTGCCCGTCTTCTCCTCGCCCTGTCTCCCCTGGGCCCTCTGCTCTCGATGACACGTCCGAATGATCCTTCGCCAGATTGACCTTGAAGGCGGGTCCACTGGGGTCCCTCGATCGCCGAACGCGATGTGATAGTAGCGTCTTGCGCGCTTGGGTCTACACCCCCCCCGAACCCCCTCCGCGCCCCCCCAAAACCGCGCACTAAACGCCGCTCGCCCAGAGTCACTCTGGCCCGAAGCCAGTACTTCTCATCCGCCTCTTCTCCCAATCCCCTGTTTGGGACAGGTGGCCACTGTGATTCAAGCTCACTCCCGAGGGTTTGCAAGAGGGGCCGAGGGACATTTCAGGCACATAGGGGCCCCGCAGAGGCCGAGATCCCCGCTTCCTTCCTGCCCTTGCTTTTGCTACTCTCACCCCTATCTTCCGCTGCCCTGTCGGTTCAATTTGATTATGCAACGCCCTTGGCCTGACAGCCACACCTCGTCTCACCGCGTGAGAGAGTAAAATATGTGTTGGCACCACGCACCGATCCATATCTCAGTAGTAGCTTGGAGCGAGGGTCGCTGCCCCGACGTTCGGGCCGTACATATTCCACGACGACGTCTGCGTCGCGTCTGCCCACGGAATCGACGACCAGCATCGTCTTGTTCCTGTGCTGCGCATTGCTCAACATCATCAGCGCCCGCGACGCCGAGCCCAATACGAGTGGCCCATCAGCGACCTCTACCGCGCTTGCCTGGGTGAATCATGCTCGACAGGGATTTCAACGACTCCGTTGGGGTGGATGTGTTTACCCTTGCCGACTGCGCCGGCAACTTGCTGTTCTTCCTAAGCGTTGTCGGCTTCGCTTCTGGATTTACGCTATGTGGCGCAGTCTCCTGAAGACACCCTTCGGTTGTATTTGCCGGGCTTTTTTTTCCAGGTGTGGATCGCGCCGTTTGGGTCACCACTACGGGTGATATTGGATGGATGAGGTGAGTTTGAGAGGGAGTTCTCGAAGGATCTCGAGGACATGGGCTGCCGCTTGATGACTGCTGCCGCGGCTGCGTTGCAGCAGAAAGCCGCCGTGGGGAGGCGCGGGGGCACGTGGAGTGTTCGGGCGAGGAAGCTGATCGACCAGTTCAGGATCGGGTTCGACCAGCCCGCGAACGCCCGCGAGGTCTAGTGGCTTACTTGCCGCTGTCTGCTGGGCCATGAACAGCTCAGTCAACGCCGCTGGCTTTTCGGCTCCACAGTCGGTACTCGGGCGTGGACTTCAATCGCCATGCTGCTTACTGGACAGCGCTAGGAGGCTCTCGCCACATGAGAGGGTAGTTTCTGACAAGCTTCTTCGAGTGTTGCCATCGTGAAGGCCGCCCAGACGTCCACCTTGCATTCGCGCTCCAACCAGTCCCTGTCCCGGGCGTTGCGATCGCGTTCAGACGGAGCTCAGCGTGCGCCAGACGTCTACCAGACGGGAGTCCAGGTGTGCTGCTGGAGGGGAAACGGCAA